TCTTGTTTGACTTTTTAAAAATACACATAAATAGTAACCTGTAGATATGTTTCTGCAACTTTTTCACTCACCATTGTTTTTATAATTTTTTATTTGTTGTTGTTGTTGAGACGATCCACAGCAGAGCATACACCAGTTCAGTAGTTCTACATGTACAATTCAGTGACATCGATTACTTTCTTCAAGTCGTGCAACCGTTCTCAGCCTCCTTTTCTGAGTTGTTCGTCCCCCATTAACACAAACTCACTGCCCCTAAGCTTCCTATCTAACCTTTCTAATTGCTGTTGCCAATTTGATTTCGTATACCAAAACCAAACCCATTGCCGTCGAGTCGATTCCGGCTCATAGCGACCCTATAGGACAGAGTAGAACTGCCCCCTAGGGTTTCCAAGGAGGGGCTGGTGACCTTTCTTGTTAGCAGCCCAGCTCTTAACCCCTGCGCCCCCAAGGCTCCTGATCCCGTATAGATAGATCTTAAAAGAGTACAACCTCAAGGCGGACATGCTTTACTAGTTAAGATAAACTACTGTTCTGTTTTAAGAAGGCCGCAGCGGGTAACAGGCCCCACTCTTGATGGGATGAGCAAAGAACCTGAGGCCGCTTAGATCATGACCGTGATCTGACGTCGCGTAGGTTTCTAGGTGGACAGGGCAACCCCTCCGTTGCGCTGGAGAACCGCTGGTTTCTCTTTTTTGTTTCTGGTTTTTGCATTTTGGTGATTCTCAGAAAATGACCAAAGCTAAAAAATGCTACATTTCCTAAAGCTGACTGTCTGCGCGTTTTATTTGTAAAACACGCTTAACTTTCCAGCAAGTCAGGAGTTACCGCCGGAATGGACCGTCCTTTCCATTTTAATGTACCGCACATACTAATTTTATGAACAGATCAGATTACATGCAGCACATATTAGTATTCTTAAAACCAGATTACTCTGCACGTGTAATGAGATAGTAAAAACTAAAAACTGTACATATTTCAAATTTTCCCCAGATTTTATTTCTTTTAAAAGTTTTTTTCCTATGACTTCAAAGTTCCCAGGCATATTTCATTTCCATTCCAACCACGAGTTTTAAATGACTCTGTGTTCCACGACAGGCCGGTGCTGGGGGGTGGGGATAAAGAAGCAAAAAGATCCAGCCCCCAATCCCGTGGCGCCCACGGGGAAACAGACATAGTCCTAGATAACCGTGCAGGGTGGTATCTGCTGTAACCAGCTGCCTTTGAGTCATTTCTAACTCGTGACCACCCCATGTGTGTCAGAGTAGAACTATGCTCCATACGGTTCTCAAGGGCTGATCTTTGGGAGGTAGATTGCCAGGCCTTTCTTCTGAGGCACCTCTGGGTGGATTTGAACAGGCAACCTTTTGGTTAGCAGCCAAGTGCTTGACCATTTGCACCACCCAGGGATGTCAGCATCTGCTGTGACGTGGACCCTAAATAAACGGAAAGCTGAGCTTCCATCAACTTTGCTCAGCCTTGAACCTGTGAAACCCCAGCTGAAGCTCCTGAGCATAGTGTCTTGAATGAATGAATTAAGTAATTAATGTAAATAATTCGCCCCTGAGGAAATGAGTTATAAAATGGGTTAAACGGAGCCCTGGTGGTGCAATGGTTAAGTGCTCTGCTGCTAACCAAAAGGTTGGCAGTTGGAACCCACTCGACGGCTCCACAGAAGAAAGACTGGCAGTCTGCTCCCATCAAGATTAAACCAACAAACCAAACCCCTTGCCGTAGAGTTGATTCCAACTCATAGCAACCCTATAGGACAGAGTAGAACTGCCCCATAGGGTTTCCAAAGAGTGCCTGGTGGATTCAAACTACTAACCTTTTGGTTAGCAACTGTAGCTCTTAACCACTGTGCCACCAGGGTTTCCCCGTCAAGATTACAGACTAGGAAACCCTGTGGAGAATCTACTCTGTCCCATGGGGTCACTAGGAGTAGGGAGGTGACTGGATGGCATCTAACAACAGTGACAACGAGAGTTCTGCCTGGAGGCAGGTTGCTTCGGAAAGGTGTGGGTGGCCCCTTCCCAGGCCACAGTTGTGGAGCTTTGCTCTTACAATCTGGTTTCAAGACGAAGAGTGCTGTGCAGGGCATGGAGCTTGTGCTGGGAGCAGTGTGGTGGCGGGGGTGGGGGCAGAGTCGGACAGTGACACCGCCTTTGGGCAACCCTCTGCAACCGGGCTTAGAGGCAAGTGGACGGGCTGGCCCTGAGCCCGCTGAGCTCGTGCTTCCCCCACGAGGCGGCCTCATTGTTCAATAAGCAGATTATACATTGCGGCGTGAAGTGGCATGGTGGGGGGCTGTCTTCAGACCTGCTGCCCGCCTTGTTTTGCAGACAATGACTTCCTGGTGCCACCCAGTCAGGGTCCACTCCGGAAGACAGCCAGTCCTTCCGCCTTTCTGGTCTCTGTTGGCTGTGGGACCACCATCACATGCCCCATCTACCCACCGCCCTCTCCAGCCGTCTGTTTTCACCTGAGTGTGTGTCCTGGGGGAGTCCCTGGTGGTGCAAATGGTTAAGCACTCAGCTGCTCACCAAAAGGTTGGAGGTTGGAGTCCAACCAGAGGTGCCTTGGAAGAAAGGCCTGGCGATCTACTTCCCCCAAACCGGCCACTGATAACCCTATGGAGCACAGTCCTACTCTGACACACATGGCGTCACCACCACGAGGTAGAGTCTGAGTTAGAGTCGACTCCACGGCAACTGATATGTTCCTGGGGGAGCCCGGGGCCCCACAGAACTGGAGAACTGGCACTGCTTGCCTCTCAGACAGGTGGGGGAGAACAGCCGCACACCACACACCAGGTCTGGTATGTTCTAGAACAAACAAAGGGTCTAGAAAGGTCCATCATTCTCTTTGAGGAAGTTCCACGTGAGGAAGGACTGAGCTCGAACCATCCAAAATAGCTTCCTTTCGAGATTGGAACCTAACTGAGGACGAGGTGCCTCTGGCGTAAGCGCCTCCGACACGTTTCCTCTGTGCGCTCCATTGGGAGCAGAAGTGCCGGCGGCTCCCGCGTAGGAGGCTGGGATCGGTCGAGGACAGAGACCTGCCTTTTGGTTCGATCCTATTTTGTCATGCGTTCTTTAGATGTCGCTAGTAAGTCTCAAGAGGTGGGACTTAACCTGTCGTGTGGCTGAATCCATGTAATAAAGTGTTTTGCAGTTGGGGGTGTAAACAAATTCATGAATTAAAAAACTGGAATAAACAGGGTCGTATTGCCAAACCGCGGACTTCCAGGCAGTGAAATATGCCAGCAAGAGCGTGGGCCACAAAGCCAGTCAGCTGGGATCCAGTTCCAGCTCTGCCACCTGTTAGCTATGTGACCTTGGGCAAGTTATTAACCTCTCTGGGCCTCTGTTTCCTCTTCTGTACAATGGGAGTAATAACACTATCATTTCGTGGGCGTATTTGTGAGGATTATATGCAGTTAAAGCACGTGAAAAGTGGCTAACACAGGTCCATGCTAAGTGTTCAATCAATGTTCATAATTATTATTAATAGTACTAATAACCCAGGGTTTCCTTACAGAACCATAGTCTGAACCAATACATTTTTTTAATAATTTATTTTCTTTTTGTTGTTGTTGAGAATATACACAGCAGAACATACACCAATTCAATAGCTTCTGCATGTACAATTCAGTGACATTGATTACATTCTTCCAGTTGTACAACCATTCTCACCTCCTTTTCCGAGTTGTTCCTCCCCCATTAACATAAACTCACTGCCTCCTAAGGTTCCTATCTAACCTTTCGAGTTGCTGTTGTCAGTTTGATCCCATATGGACAGATCGGAAAAGAGCACCGTGCTCAAGGCAGACATTCTTTAGTAGTTAAGCTAAACTATTGTTCGGTTTTGAGAAGACGTCAGGGGATATTTTTGGTTTAAGGTGTAAAGATGATCTCAGGGCAGTCGTTTCAGGGCTTCATCCAGCCTCCATGGCTCCACTGAATCAAGAATTTTTCAGTGAAGCCCTTTAAACCCAAACGGAAGCCCCGTGTTGTCTAAAATGATCAGGAAACAGTTACTGTGCTGAGCACTTTGTAGTCACTTGTTCTACACAAAGCCTTGTGCTTTTTTTTTTTTAATTATTGTGCTTTAAGTGAAAGTGTACAACTTAAGTTAGTCTCTCATACAAAAATTTGTACATGTATTGTTATGTGACCCTAGTTGGTCTCCCTATACTGTGACAGCACACTCCTCCTTCCCACCCCGGATTTCCCGTGTCCATTCAGCCACCTCCTGACCCGCTCTGCCTTCTCATCTCACCTCCAGACAGGAGCTGCCCATTTAGTCTCATGTATCTACTTGAGCTAAGAAGCACACTCTTCACGAGTATCATTTTATGTCCCATAGTCCAGTCTAATCTTTGTCTGAAGAGTTGGCCTCAGGAATGGTTTTAGTTTTGGCCTAACAGAGAGTCTGGGGGCCATGTCTTCCGAGCTCCCTCCAGTCTCAACCAAGCCATTAAGTCTGGTCTTTTACTAGAAGTTGAGTTCTGCACCCCACTTTTCTCCTGCTCCATCAGGGGCTCTCTGTTGTGTTCCCTGTCAGGGCGGCCATTGGTCGTAGTCGGGCACCATCTAGTTCTTCTGGACTCAGGACAAAGCCTTGTTCTTGTCCTCACTATAATGAGGAAACAAAGTCTCAGAGAGGCTCAGTAACTTGCCCAAGGCCATACAGCAAGGATCAGCGTGACCTCTTCTGTCATGACTACAACTCACTGCCTCTGTTGAACTGAAATAGAATTGGATCATGAAGATACTTTTCTATCCAGATCACAGTGTGAGTGCACTTGACCTGCAATGGGATTCTTACCTGCACCCAGCAGGTGTCTGTCGAGGCTGTCCGACCACGCCTTTGTAAATGTGTGTGTTAAGCTCAGCGTGTGTTAAAACGAGTCCCTGGTTTCCCCCTGGCTCTCCCCACCCCTCGCCCCCGTGGCTGGCATGCAGAGAAATGTGTGACCACCCCATGACCTGTTCCACCAGCTCCCCGTCCAGCGCCGACACCAGCCTGCATTTCCCCGAGAGCAACGGGCTCCTGCCTCCGGCGCGCTGGGAGGAGCCGCAGCGGGGCTGTGCGCTGGAGCAGACCTGCGGTGTCTTCCGCGTGGACCTGGGGCACATGCGCTCCCTCCGCCTTTTCTTCAGGTCAGGACCCTCGGCCACTCCCGAAGGAAGCTGGCCTGTTGTCAGTGTGCCCGGGCGGGTGGGCAGGGCTGGGGCTCAGTTCCAATTCCTGGTGTGGATGCAGGGTGCTGGCTGGCCCCCTCATCACCAACACTGCCTCACTGTGGTGTCCACAATCCTGGGGTCTGGTCTAGCCACCTGCCTTCAGGGTGATGAGAGCCAACTGGACTTGGGGAAGAGACCTAACAGGCAGCTTCAGAGAGGGCTGGGGACCGCGGCTTTGTGGATCAAGGCCCCCTTTCTTCACCACAGGGGATCATGCCTAGTTTCCTGCCTAGCGTTCTCGCTGTCGGCTGCTGTGGAGTCAACCCCCGGCTCATGCTGACCTCGTGCACAACAGAATGACACGCTGCCTGGTCCCGCACCATCCCCATGATTGGTTGTGGATCGGCCTGTTGCGATCTATAGGGTTTTCTCTGGCCGATTTTCAGAAGTAGATTGCCAGGCCTTTCTTCCTAGTCTGTCTCAGTCTGGAAGCTCCGCTGAAACCTGTTCAGCATCACAGCAACATGCAAGCCGCCACTGACAGGCGGGGCGCGGGGCGGGGGTTGGCTGCGCATGAGGTGCGTTGGCCAGGAACCAAACCCAGGTCTCCCCCGTGGAAGGCGAGGATTCTACCACTGACCCACCATGCCTCACATAACCAGTTGCTGTGGAATTGTCTCTGACTCATGGAAACCCCATGGGTGTCAGAGTAGAACTGTGCTCCATGGGGTATTCAGTGGCTGATTTTTCGGAAGTAGACTACCAGGCCTTTCTTCCAAGGTGCTTCCAAGGAGCTTCTGACCTTTCAGGGAACAGCGGAGCTGGTTAACCGCTTGCATCACCCAGGTGCTGTTCTAACATACGCGGGGTCTCCACAAGTCAGAATCGACTCGATTGGAACTGGTTCCTGCTGAATAGCCCCATGGAATCCCTCTTCTTTATATACTCAAGATGGCCCCATCTCTGCCCAAGAAAGCACCTGTGTTTAGGGGCTGGAGGCTCGACGCTGGGGGCGGGGGGCCCCAGGTCCAGAGCCACGGCCCAGGCACTGCTGGCTGTTTAGCAGATTTTCTGGAGCGTTCTCCCAGAGTGCCCTTGGGCATGATGGAGGCCGTCCCTCCAGGAGGTCCTCTTGGATGCACTGTGAGCCAGCACCCCCCACCTTGTCTCCTGGGCTGAATACCAGTCCCACCCAAGGCCGGCCAACACCCAGCATTCACTCTGGGTCTCCCAGAGAGAAGGGGCCCATGAGGGGGAGGGTCACTCAGCAGGTCTCCGGGGAGGACCCACAGGAGGGAACCAAGCCCTGCTTCCCAGCAGCAGCCCCCCAAGCGGGGCTACTTTGCCTCCTTAGCAAAGGGGCGATGGCATTTGCTTCCGGCGTCATTCTGTGTGCCTCCCGCCCACAGCCCACCTCCCTGGGGCTTCCCGTTCCTGCCTCTGCTCACACTCGGAAATAAACCATGTTTGCCTGTTCATCGTGCTCTGTCTCCCTGTGCCCTCAGCGATGAGGCCTGCAGCAGCGGCCAGCTGGTGGTGGCCAGCCGCGAGAGCCAGTACAAGATCTTCCATTTCCACCACGGCGGCCTGGACAAGCTGGCGGACGTGTTCCAGCAGTGGAAATACTGCACCGAGACGCATCTCAAGGACCAGGTAGCCCCGCGGACCGATGGGTGGACACTGCCCTGGGGGTGGAGAGTCCTCGCCCCCTGCTGCTGGCCACAGGGTGAGGGAGGAAGGCTGAGACCCTCCTGTCCCCTCTTCCCAGGCTGGGGCTGCAGTCTGGGTGCCCAGGGGCTCCTAGGGGGTAACCTGGGGTCGTGGGGGGCTGGCAGAGCAGCAGCTTTGGATCTGAAAAGGGTCCCCAGGACCTTTTGCAAAGTCTCTGCTGGGCACTTGAGAGTCATGTTTTGACAAGGCCTCCTGCCATATTTTGCTCAATCTACATACAAATGTGGTAAGAGCTCTTTAATTATCTGTTTAAGATACAGTATGTGCTTATTAGAACCGGGGCTGACTTTCAAATTCCCTTCCTTCCCACCGAACCCCCCCACTGCTCGCCCTTATTACAATAGCGTGGTTCTCTCCTCCCCACCTCCCCACGGAACAACCTTTGATTTCTGAATTAAATGTCAGCCGCTGTTGCGCCCGCGTCGTGACTGCCCCCGCGGAGAGGGCCCGACAGGCTGGCTCCCCGCACGGAACAGCGCGCCCTTTGTATGTGGCCGATCACATGTAATTTATCGCCGGCCTCCTGGCCAAGGGGAGGCGGACCCCACCAGACATGAATCCCGCTTTTGCGGCTGGGGTCGGAGTGGGGGGCAGTGGTCCCGGCAAGGGGAGCTGGGTTTGGAGATGAAGGTATTTTCATTTTAATTACATCCAATTACACTTGCCAGCGAGGCGTTTGCGGGCATTGAGGTCGCTCTTCCCTCCTTTCAGAAGGGGGCTTTTCAGCCCTGGGAAAAGCGGTGCTGGCACGGGCAGCCGCGTGTTCGAGACGCCAATTGTCCCCGGTTGTCCTCCTGTCCAGCAGGTTGCCGATGAGAAGACCTGCATGCGGTTCTCCATCCGGCGTCCCAAGCTACCCTCGTCTGAGACCCACCCAGAGGAGGACCTGCACAAGCGAGTGGACGTGGCGGCCTGGCTCGGCCACCTCAACGAGCTGGGCCAGGTGGAGGAGGAGTACAAGCTTCGCAAGGTAGGGCTGCCCGGCGCCCACCTGGGAGACACCCACCTGGGAGACCGGAGCTCCAGGGATGGGGGGGCGGGGCCGGCTGCCACCCCCCGAACCACGGGCCACCTCCTCGGGAGGGCCCTGTTCCCCTGTGTGAGGTGCTGTGAACACACCCCTGGTAAGCAATCAAAGCTGCTGGGTTAAAACAAAAAGCTAAGAGAGTTTGGGGGACCCGGTGTCAGCCTGCATAGAAGGGGCTGCGGTGAAACGCAGCAATTCCAAGATCAGGGATTAGGCCGCGACGTGAGAACCACAAGTTAATCTGAACGCCACCCCGGGGGGGTTATTGACATTGAAATGAGCCGGGTCTGTGGCTCGGCTGGGAATGGAGGGCCGGCCCTTTCCCCTTCTAAACATGTGCAAATTGCCGCCATCTGAATCAAGGCATCAGCTGTCAGCAGATCGAACCAAAGCCACCACGACACCCATCTCGGGGGCTGGGGGGTCTTTGAGCTGCCCTGGTTTACCCCCTCCCCAACGTCTGCCGCTTCCTGCAGGCCATTTTCTTTGGCGGCATTGATGTGTCAATCCGGGGGGAGGTCTGGCCCTTCCTGCTGCGCTATTACAGCCCCGAGTCCACGTCGGAGGAGCGGGAGGCGCTGCGGGTGCAGAAACGAAAGCAGTACTTGGAGATCCAGCAGAAACGGTAAGGCCAGCCCTCACTTCCCGCCGTCCCACACCGAGGCCCTCCCCACTGACCACAATGGAAATGTCATTTGAAAAGTTAATTTGCGGTGCAGTTCAGCATCGATAATATGTTTCATGACCCATGGTTTCTTTGGAAGATGGGTCTCCCAGGAACGGGAGCGATGGGGCTGGTAAGTGCAGCCATTACCCCAGCTCTCCTGCCTCCAGATGCAGGTCTTTAGCTCCCATGTCAGGGTACTGGACTTGTTCTTCATTCACTGAGCACGGGGGTGGGGGCACAGCCTGCAGGGGGCGTCCTGGAGCTTCCCCACTCGTGGGCTGCGGTCAGACCTCCTCTCGGGGAGCCGTGACCTGTGGGACACCCTGGGGTACACAGCATCCACCCGTCAGGGACTCTGGGGAGACACGAGCAGCAGCATCCCAGTTCCCATCCTGGGCCTGGGCGCACAGGGAAGGCCCGTCCCTGGAGTGATTGTGCCCGCTGAGGCTGTGTGCCTGTCACTGACGCCGTGTGCCTGCTCACTGACGCCGTGTGCCTGCTCACTGACGCCGTGCGCCTGCTCACTGACGCCGTGTGCCTGCTTATGCTGTGTGCCTGCTCACTGACGCCGCGCGCCTGCTCACTGACGCCGTGTGCCTGTCACTGATGCCATGTGCCTGGTCACTGATGCCGTGTGCCTGGTCACTGACGCCGCACGCCTGCTCACTGACGCCGTGTGCCTCCTGACGCCGTGTGCCTGCTCACTGACGCCGTGTGCCTGGTCACTGACGCCATGGGCCTGCTGACGCTGTGTGCTCACTGATGCCGTGTGCCTGGTCACTGACACCGTGTGCCTGCTGAAGCTATGTGCTTGCTGACGCTGTGTGCCTGGTCACTGACGCCGTGTGCGTGCTTGCTGATGCCGTGTGCCTGCTCGCTGACGCTGTGTGCCTGCTGATTCCGTGTGCCTGCTGACGCCGTGTGCCTGCTCGCTGACGCTGTGTGCCTGCTGACGCTGTGTGCCTGCTGAT